ACGGGAGAGGGGTGTCCCGGCACGTATACGTCCACATCGGCAGCCCCAGATAGCCCAGCAAGGAGAAGCAAGGCAAACCGGTCGGTGGCAGCTGGTGTGGAGACCGCAAAGAGGCGGCCATCGAGGTCCACCAGGTTAAAGCAGACCATAGGAAGAAACCCCTGCCACTCAGGTAGCATGAGCAAAACCGCCCAACATGCGTCCGGCTGGGGCACGACAGGCAGAAGCGTAGGGAATCGGTCTTTGAGAAAGTGGCCCCGACAAAGGTTAGCCAACTCGAGGGCCTCAGGCACGGTCTGCGGAACAGCAATCTGAAGATGTATGTGTTCGGCATGGTACTCCGGGGCAAGCAAAACGAAGACCGTGTCAAGAAGGACGGGCGCACTATCCGTGTCAGATGCCTCACCATCATCCGAGGCCACAAACGGGAATGGCTGATGTGCCTCCGGGTCAAGCGGCCAAGGGAGACCAAGCTGTCGAGTTGCATCCCGGGCAGAGTTAAGAAGCCTGCCAGCCACTCGGGAGTTCCCGCTTGGGAGTTCGAGAAGTCTTGCCTGAATACAGTCAAGTGCTGAGAAGGAAGGGACCTCCCTAGGAAAAGCCACGTCAAGGCCACCCTCGTGCGGGAGGGCAGGGGTGAAAAACCGCGCGCCCTGAGCAAGGGCATCGAGAAAAGTCACGGCAATCCACATGTCAACTCCAACGCATCGGGATGGCTCTTGGAGCAGGCGGCACGCAGAACCCGCATAAGAGGCCCCAGTAGACAAAGCGGCAGGAGGCCCAACCAAGGGCCACGTCACAATGGAACTCCGCGTAGTGGCGGCAGACACACTGGTATCATCTGTGTGAGATGTGGACCGATACCCCGCTCGAGGCGTCCGGCTGCGGTTTCGAGTCCCCTCACGGGAAGAAGGAGATCCTCTCGGATCACGGCCCACCGGCGGTTCATGCGGTGCCTCCCCGGCTGGGCCATCGCCCGGAGGGGCCGGCGAGTCCGAGGGCGAATCACCAAGAAAATCTTCCACGAATTCAACGATGAGGACTTGGCCATGCCTCAGGAGAAAGACAGGCCCATCTGGGCGGCTGCGTACCTCAGCTCCTCGTACCGAGACAATGTGTTCAGCAGGGCATCGATCAGCAAAACGGTCAACGATGGAGCCGACCTCTACCTCGTGACCCCCACTGAGGAACCAGGTAAACCCTTGGAGAACTCGTCTGCAATCCAGGATAACGACAATGCGGTTCTCTGGTTGTCGCGCTGGCGGGTAAGGGACACAGGAGAGGCGTTCGGTGACAACTATCACACCTGTGGCCAAGAAGCCGCGGGGAAAGATATCACCAATGGCAGGGTGGGAGCTCTTGAATGTGAGAGAATGCTCCACAGCGCTGAGGCAGGCACACACATCTGCCTTAAAGGTGGATCTTCGACCTGGAAGGACCTCAAAAAGACACGGCGAAGCATCCGTCAGAAGCCAGAAATGGCTACCAGGGTAGTAGTGCGGGCCAGGCAGGTCAGTCGCCTCATGCCACATATCTCTGTTCAGGAGACGGGTCCCCAAGTCTGTCCCGCCTGGGGCGCCCGTACTCGCAGGAACCACACTGACCGTGAATCCCGAGGACAGGGTAATACGCTGAGCAAGCTGGAGAGGTTGCACAAGGCCATGAACAAAGACTTGGTGGCTTACATCAGCAGCAAATCCAGCGGCAAGGAGGAGAGATTCCCTGTTCAGATGGCAGTGCACTGCAGCCGCGAACATGGTGTCGTTGACCCTGCGGCAGTCAAATAAGATGATCACCTTCTCAGCCAGCCAGTTGGGTGCTGCCACAAGAACAGCAATGTCGAGCACCGGTTGGGGCGTAGCCGGGAAGAGATCGGGAAAGCTGACTACCAAGTCAGACGACCGCATCTCCTGCAGCTGAGCTATGAAGGAGGTCACGCCAGTAGGAAGACGGACCGGGACATGCAAGAGTTCGGGAGCAAACTCTGGCATATAGATAAGAACAGTGATCGGGAACTGTTCATCCGTCATGGCATCTGCGGGGCCAGGGGTGCTTGGGCTACGGAGATGCAAAGCAGCAGCCGCAGATGAATCAGCAGCCGGAGGCCGTTCCCAACCTACAGTAAGAGCAGCACCGACACTACCCATACGGGAGAGCTCATCACTGTCCATCGCGTCAGAGGCCGCCTGGTCCAACGTGGGCCATAGCCCCGGAACATTGACCTCGCAGCGATCTTCTGTCGGGACCGTTGGGGCAGCATGCGCCCGGTCTGGCGTAAGGGGCCAGTTCGTGTCTAAAGCTAGCCCCAGAGAAGCTGGTGACCCCGACGTCTCAACAGGCTCAGGGAGCCTAGGCATACCTGAAACCTCCACTGCATTCCAGCTATGGCCTGCCGGGATAGACGTGTCCATAGCAGCCAACTCCTCGTCGGGCGGGCTCAGCCTAGTCCACTCCGGAATTTCAGCACCACCAGCCCCAAAGGCCGGGAGAGAAGGTGAGTGGGGCACTGTGTCTGGGTCACTGGAGGATCCATCGGAGGGTTTTGCCTCAACATGGAAGAGGAGAATAGGGCATCCCTGGACCTTCACGTATTCACCAGAATAACGACCGCCAACAACTCCCGCCTGCATAGCAGCTGGCAATTCGACCTGAAAATCCGAAAGAATGCTTGGCACATGAAGCTTCGGGACATGGGAGTGAATAAACTCCGGTTTGAGGCCAAGGGGGCGGAAATCGCATAACGCAAAGAAATCCTGCCTGGCTCGAGTAGCTTCGCCTTCTACTAGTGGAGGGCGATCCAAGATGACCACCATCTGAGGGCATGACCACCCTTGGACATCTAGGTCCGGAAGCGAAAAAGTGCAAGCAAGTATTGAGTGCACGTCCAGCCGCAAGCTACTGATTGCATGCTCCAGTACGGTGCGGCCGAGATGATGATGTGCACCGACGCAAAATCGTTGCCGACGGTATATGACGCAGACGCTTTCATGCTTTTCCACAGGGAAAAAGTGGTGCATCGGGCCCCAGAGTGCATGATCCTCCAAGGCCTCCGGCTGTCTTCTCGCGAAGGTAGCATCGCAGCGAAGAACAGTGATCACGTCCCCATCACTAAAGTTCACCAAGGCAGCTTCAGGCCACGGGTACGTCCGGCACCCCACATAAAAGCGGAGTGGGGTGTCGCCATCAGAGGTGAGAGGGACAACGAAATCCTGCAGGCTGGCATACGACATATAGCGCGGCAAGACTGACGCGAAGTAATGACCGCCCACGCGAGTCAAGTCGAGCACAACGGCTGAGTAGCCTTCGCCTGTTTGACCTAAGACACTGGGGAACCTTATAACGGAAAGGTAATCCCCAAAGCGCTGGGGGCGTAAAGGCACAATGCACTCCATAAGGCCTGCAGGTGCACCCGGGGCACAATCAAGGATCGTGTCCAGAACACTACGAAGGCTCGCACCATGCGCTGCTCTCACTGCCAGGGACACAGGCGAGTAGTAAGGAGTATAAAGGTAGACTCCGAGCCAATCAAAGCCGGCTTGGGCTGCAGGGCCGCCGGTTGGCCATTCCGGCCCGTGTAAACAGATGGACCGGCTGATCCGATCATGCCTTTCGGGATCATGGCGGGGGGAGCCTGGTGCGTCACCGCCTATAAAAGATATGAAGTCCTCTGGGCGTGCCGCATGCAGAACCCTGCCAACTGCGTGGCCTTCCCCCGGACGGGTCATGGCCTCACCCACAAAGGGAAGTAAGGCAGCAAGAGGGACTCTCAGACGCGCAGCTGCAACAGTTTGGGGCAGGGAGTACCAGGCAAGAAACCCTAGCCAAAAGCCCCACATCCGAGAACCTGAAAGAACTCGAGGATTCCTAGAAGCAATCCTACCTTTACGGTCCCTCCAGGGCTTCCAGTCCAACACGTCTCTGCCCGGACGCGAAAAACTCAGCCCAAGGGGAACAGTGAGCACGGGGACAAGAGCGCCATGAGTGCGCCGAGCACACAAAGGGCGAACAACCAGATTGAGCAATGCAATCAGCAAAGCTAAGGCACCGCTCTTGCACAAAGAAGCTAAAACTTCGCTCAGCCAGCAAAGAGAACAAAGCGCCCATTGTTCGCTCTCAGGAGAGCCCCGGATGCGATCATCACCTGGTAGGTACCCCAGAGCCACCGATGTACCTTTTAGGCACCAGGTCCGATCAAGCCAAAAGACATATGGACAACACCACCCGAGAATAGGAGCTCGGGGCAAGTGTGCTGCTCCATGACTCATATGGACTGCCATCAACCCATGAGAAGCAGCCAAAAGAAGAGGCGCTATTGCTCAACAGACCGATGCCGGCAGATCCAAGATGCAGGCAGTCGAAGTGGCGGGGGCGTGTCACGGAGAGCTCAAGAACCCAATGAGCCTCCAAGACAGCCGAGGACAAAGCCCTGGAAAGGGCCAGCGAAAGCGCACCTGGACCCACGACCCGGGCAAACTCTGGCCACAGAAACGAAAATCCAGTGCATACGCCAGGGGGAACGACCCCGGCGTCATGGCGTGGGCACACCCAAGACAGCTCCAAAGCCAAAGGAACCGCAAAGGCAGCCGAGGACAAAGTCCGAGGAGGGACCTGCGAAGAAGGGACACTGACGGGATCCTCCGGACAACAAAATTCCAGCATGGAGGGAGGATGTATGAGGATAGAACACAGGGGTCCCCATAGACCAGAGCAGACCCTAAGCGGAACCAAAACCCCATGGACCGCAAGGGAGACGGATGTACAGGAAGCCGTGCCGACAAAGGGGACTGTACAGACTACCCTATACAGCCACTCCTCAGAAGCACCGTCAGGTAGACAGTCAACTAGGCCGGCGTCAACTGCACACGAACCGACTTGACCGATGGGCAACAGGAGTCCCCGAATGCCAAAAACCTTGTCTCCAACAAGGTCGCACTCGGAAGACGCCGGACCCCCCAGCCGTCCGTGTCCGTGCGAGCTGACAACCTGCCACGAGTGCAGGTTTACGTCTCCGAAGGCCGCTCGTCCAGGCTTGCAAGAGTGCCATCGGCAGCCATGTGTTTGTCCTCGTCGGAATCGTCGTCCACAAGACCTGTGGGTTTTGGCCCAGCGGCCATATTGATCAGGCCTCCAACCCCAAAGGGCCGAAGAGCCATGCTCTGCAGCTCGGCAGCGCGTCTGGCCTCCAGCTTCTCTTCGAGCGAGATGTTGCGAGTGGCCTTGGCAGGCGGGAGCATCGTCGCAGACTTGATATCTTCCCTCGGGGGGGCCTCGGCAGTCATCTGACGCGGGAGCCCAAAGTCGCGCTGTCCTGGGTGCTTCGGAGATTGTCGGCTCCCGGTGTCCAGGCCAGGAGGTCTCGCACTCATAGAGGCGGGTCCCGTAGCAGGAGGGGTCCAGCTCGGAGCTGGACCATTCTCTGTCACGGTAGCCAAGTATGGATCCTCCACCCCAGAACTCGTAAGAGCCCCGCCGGCGACAGCGGATCTGGCGGGCATGGCCGAATTCGGAGTCATAGGCTGAACCGGCCTTGCACGCATAGGGGTGAAGGGAGTCAAGCCAGCTGCCCTTGCCTGGGCAACAGCGCGCTCCAAAACCCCATCCATGTCGTTGGCCGCCTCCTTCTCCCAAGCCTCGCGTGCGATCTCCCACGAACGATCCTCGTCCGCCGTGGGGAACATCTCCTGAGCAGCTGGGAGACCAGGCCCAAACACCATGAGGCGTGCTTGCTCCTGCTGGTTCAGCGCCTCCGCAATATCCCTCTCCAATCGCTCGGAGTTCTGAGCAAACTTGCGCTTCTCGCGCAGAAATGCCTGTTTCATCTCTTGATCCCAGGCATCCCATTGGGCTTTGGCCTTGTCTCGCTGTTGCATGAGCTTCACCACCCTTTGCTCCGCACGACGTGCCACATTGAGCAACTGCTGCAGCCCATTCATAGGTCCCTGGTCTTGCGAGGAAGCAGCTCCACGGTTGGTGTCGGACGTGAGATCCACTACCTGCATAGCCTGGTAAGAGGGAATATGCGCGGCACCTTTGTCCCATGTACCCCAACTCTTGTCTTGCTTCCAGGGGCGTTGCGAGGGAGAATGTGCTCCCCGCCAAACATGCCAGCCAGGCTGTCCACCATCTGGCTGGGAGCGCTGTTGTCTGCCCCCTCGGCCCATGCCTCCAAGTAGACGGCGTCGTTGCTCTACAGGAGTGGCGTGGTGCAAGGCAAGCACCGACCGCTGACGGGCAGATAAGGGGATACCAGCTCGAAGGTGGCACCGGATAACAGACCTTTTCTGACGGGCCTTTCTGTGCCACGTGGGAGACCGCCGATGCTTCCCGATGGCTGCGGGGTCGGTGGGTCCTTGCACCGTTTGTAGGTGCCTGGGGCCCTGAGTGTTCCAGCTACCTGCCGGCTATCTCGAGCCCTGTTTTGGGGTATATTGTACTATAAGTATAATAAGAAACCTCCACAGTAGTATTGGCAATTATTTAGGCCGCTATATTAAACCCTGCACCCCTCAACCCTAATCGCCAGAGCACTGCGAGCATTCAAGTATTTATGTTGATAGCAAAAGCAAAGAGTCGACAACATACATGGGTGGTTGTCAAAATTAGGGTCCCTTGTGGGGTACCATAAATAATAGGTGCCGTAGTTTTAATAAGGACCCAGATGAAAAGGACCATGATTTTGACAACCACCCACATAACAACTCCAAGCCCCACAAGTTCTTCGACCGACCCTGAACCCCCAAACAGCTAACACCTGAACTCCTCAGACCATCACCCTAATTCCTAAATCCTCCACGACCAAACCGCCAAGCCCTTGACTCTTAACCTCTGATCCCTATTACGATGACTATATCCAAAACCACAAACCTCGAAGCCCCTAAACTGCAAAAACATCTTAAACAACTGAACCCCAAACCATTACCCTGACCCAGGTACCTACTGTATAGGGTAATAGAGCCCCTATAGGGGCCTTATATAGTAGGTCCCTGGGGGGTTAGGGTTAAGCTTAACAAAAAACATAACATCGAACCCTTAAAGCCGAAACCCTAAACCCTATATCCTATGCCCCAAACTGCAATAGTATCTTAAACAACTAAACCCCAAAACCATTAAACTTTAAAACGTAACATCGAACCCCTCCAAAACCGAAAGCCAAAGCCTGGAGCAGGAAGGATCGCTCCTAGCACTCGGAACGGCCCAGAGTCTGAAATGGAACGACCAGAAACCTAACACACCCTACTTGGAGGATCATGGGACTTAGTAAGTGAGGTTAAGAGTCCGCTAATTGGGGTTAATTATAGTTACCTTAGTTATTACCCTACTTACTAAGTCCCATGATCCTTTAAGTACGAGGCTTAGTAAGTAGAATAGGGTTTTGGGGTTTCTTTGCAGGGGGGTTCCTTTGAAGGGTTCCTTAAAGGGTTCGATAAGGGTTCAAGTACGCACTATAAACCCCAAACCTGAATCCTGAATACCAACCCTGAACCTTAAAGACTAAAGCCTAAACTCCTACACCTTGAACCCTGAACCCTAACAAAAACCTAAACCTGAAAACCTCAACCCGTAAGATTTGGCATCCTCAGGCCAAACTCAAGGCGCCCACCTGGCCATCGTCGCCGCCGGACGCGAGAAGCTCGGTTTCACCTGATCGGCGTGGGCTCCGCCGATTGTAAGGGCTTAGTTTTAGGGCTTAGTTTTACGGTTTAGGGTTTAGGATTTGGGGCTTTGGGTTTAGGGTTTAGGGTTTTGGGTGTAGGGTTTTGGGTTTAGGCTTCGGGTTCAGGGGACACTATAAGGCAAAGGGCAAAGGGACCCTTTTTTAGGCAGCTCCAGCTTAGCATCCCAGAAGGCATGCGAGCTCACACGGAGCAGGTCGATTTTGAGTGGAGCTGTCACAGAGGATTCAGCCCCAGAATTCCAAAGGCGAGGCCGATGCAACTCAAACAGAAGACCTGAGACCCAAATATAGACCCGATAAAAACCAGAATAGACATACAAACCCTAAACCCTAAACCAGAATCTGTATCCGAAGGATCACTACATTCACGGAATACTGAATAAGCTACCTCCAGTTCTCAGAAACCCACGGTGTGCATTTTCCTCGACAGTTGGAGCAGTCCTGCCGCGCGACCGCTCGTAAAGGTAACGCATAAAACAAGGCACGGAAGGATAAATCAAAGGAGGAGTCGGATCCTTAATTATACTTACCCTAACCCCCCAAGTACCTACTATATAGGGCACTAGAGCCCCTCAGGGCTCTATATGGTAGGTACCTGGGGGTTAGGGTTACCTCTAGATTACAGTAGGTATCCAAACTTTCTCAAACGCGAAGCCTAAACCCTAAACCCTAAACCCTAAACCCTAAACCTTAAACCGTTAAACCCTAAATCCACACCCAAAGTCCCATGGCGACATGAACCATCGGCAATACCCGAAATCCGACCCAAGAGCCGAAACCACGGAAACGGCTTAGGGTTTAGGGTTTAGGGTTTAGGATTTAGGAATCAGGGTTTGCGGTTCAGGGTTTAGGGTTTCAGTAGGCTAGAGTTGCAACTTAGGGGTCCTCACACCGCGGATCTTCGTACTCAAGAGTCAAGACTAGGTGACTGGTTTAGGGTTTAGGGTTTAGGGTTTAGGGCAGCTCGCAGCTTGTGATGGCTATCTACTGTCGACGGAAATGACCGAACCTGAGCCCAATGCCGAAGGCAACGCAGCGCGCTCCGCCGGTATGTCCTGGCAGCCTGTCCTGTGATGGTTCGGAGCACGAGGCTTAAAGTCTCGAGCTTTGGGTTACTACTGCTCCTGATATCCCGCTTGCGGGGTTTTACGTACGTCAAGCTCAGGCAACTCCTTCGAAGGCTGCGAACATACTCAGCTCCATAGCTGTATCAGAATGCGCAAGCCGACCTGCCTCATGAAACTTGTGTGTAATGTAGGGACCTTGATAATTAGAGTAGGGTTTTGGGGCCCCTAATACTATAATCATAATCATAACAAGGAAGCCCCACAATAGTGTAGGAAATTATTTAGGCCCCTATAGTAAGGGGTTACTGTTATAACGGATCAGGGAACTTCGGAAGTGGGGAGGTAATTAGGTCAAACCACGCCTGCAACTTTAAACCCCAATCAGCGTTGTGTAGCGTAGTGGTCCTCGTCGTGGTCATAGTAGCGGTAGACGGAGTGGTAGTAGTAGTGCTAGTAGTAAGTAGAAGTAGTAGTAGAAGGCCGAGAAGGAGGAGGAGGAAGAGGAGGAGG